GGAAAGGAGCTCGTCCACTGGGTTCCTGACGTGAAGGACAAGTCGAAGCCCGGTGATGGATCGCTCTCTCCGACTTCGGTTGCTGTCGAACTACCGTCTTTGAACTACCCGGTTCTCAGGTTTGCTTCTTGTTACAAACTGGTGGATTCCCAGGTTTGGTTCGATTTCGAGTTTGGCTTCCAAGTTGGGGAATATGGATATGTTAAACCGCCGCCTCGATCGAAGGTTAGGTTCGAAATCAGGTGATCCGGCAGCTTTGTTGATACTTAGATTAGTACGGACTAACCGGTAATTTACAGATCGTTGTGTGTAGTATCACTATTGAATGTTGGTATCTATTTTTGTATAATTTATATCTATTCATATCATACTATGCCACACTAGCATTCGGCCCGGTATGTCAAAGTTGCTAAGGTTACAGACCAAGAGAAGTACCAGGTGAAAGCTTTGCTTTACTTGAATCAAGTTGTTGGGGCTTTCACTATTGTCGATGCAGACCAAGCTCATCAGTTCTGGAACATTTTCAAACGCTCACAATCGAAAGCTGGCCTCTCAATGGCCATGATGAAACTGGTTATTTGCTGCTCCCTGACTGACTAAATAAAGCCCACCTAGTCTCTTTTTCTTTTCTGCTGGATAGTAAGTAATAATAACGACTACGTCATGGTGCATTCTTCCTGTACCCGGATTCTGAGGTAACCTGAACCATGGAAGCTTTCAGAGTGGAGGAATGCTCTTAGAGAAGAGTGAGTGCTTGAATTACTACTTGAGGAAACAGCCTGCAAGTTACTTCATGAGCTTGTCTGAAAGCATTGCCTTCGACCGTGAGCTAACTCATGAGCACACACGGGAAGAAGTTGTGATCACACTCAATGAGTTTCTGAAGTCAAAGAGTATCGCAAACCGAGGGTCCTATGTATCATGCATGACAGAGCCCCAACAATTTTCTATAATTTGTGTGAGTGTAGGGTTTCTTCGCCTCCAAATTAAAAGGAATTGACCCAGCTTCAAGTTGCTGGTCAGTCTGCCAAGGTAAAGCAGAAACGCTGGTTCGCTGTCAATTCAGCAGTACGTCGGCTCGTCAAAGACTGGACCGTTCAGAAGGAAGGCTTGCGTGCACTCTTGATTCACTGGCGTGGCACTGTCATAAAGCTGTCAGTTTCAGAAAAGTTTGTAGTTAGTTTCACATTTTCAACGTGTTTGCTAACTTGATTCCATTAAAACTTAGACTCCTGGACTCATATGGTGCAAGTCACACAAATCTGTTCTCTGAGTCATCGCATCAAAAATGAATGGGAGAACTTATTATTATGACATGATGTACCAGACCAAAACGGTATCGAAAATAAGGATTCTAGCAGTTGCCTACTCAGACTCAAGGTCATTACTACAATAGAAAAGTACATCTTTTGAGACTCATACAAAACAACTGGTCATGATGTGACAAAGCTGTCGGTTGTTACACGCTGTTTGTCGGCCCACTGTTTTTGCCATCCCAGTCCCGCCCACTCCGTCCTGCCAACTCGTCCTGAGGCTGACCCTGAAGTGGAGAATCGCCTGGCGGAGTTCCAACCTTTGCCAGACGACGATGCTGCTGATCAGGCTGAGGAGGACGATGCGGAGGAATTAGAGGCTCCAGAGCCAAAAACACGAAAGGAGCTCTATGATCAGTATAGTGGGCGAGGACCTGCTGCGATGGTTTTTGATCTTCTTTCAGATCACAAGTTGCAGCTTCAGTCAATCATTTTGAGTCGAGGGTCAGCACCACTGGAAGATCTCTACTTCCGCACCCTCCGTCAACAGAAAACCGGAGAAGGACAACTGTCATTTGCAGCAAACCTTGCAGCAACGGGATTTTTTCAGTGTGCACTTGAATGTTTGAAGCAGGTTCAGAGCGATCCATTTCTCCAGAGATTGGGTATGACTCCACCAACGCACTCTCGTAGACTTGATGCGGACAAACTTCCCTGTGATGAGTTTGAAGCTGGCATTATGGAGTACTTTTACAAATTCGCATTCCACTTGTGCCAAGAGATCATTTGGACCCATGCCCATTACTACTGGACGTTTCCACATGCCATCGCCCTCTACCTTTTGGAAGATGAGGCAGAACGCAAGCGTGCTTGTAAGCATCTTTGGGTGGTTGCAACGGCCATCCAAAGGGCAGAAGATGTGGCAAATCCCAGTGGTGCTTTGCTGGCATGCCTCACCGATGTAAGCTGGAACTCAGAGCAATTGGTTCGTAAAGAGAGGACTCAGAAACAAGTTTGATCCAGTGGACCCTGTTTTCCTGAAGTTTGCCCAGAGACTCTACAGTGCTTCAGGTACTACAAAGGAAAATCTGGAGAGCTGCTTCAACGCGTGCCAAAGACAAATCCAGTTTATGAATGTGAACAAAAGGGTGAGTGCTTACATGAGATGGTTTTTAGCCACGCTCAATCCACACTTAGATGCACCGCAGATTCTCCCGTCAGAATCAGATTGGTGGAACATATTGATGTCACCTGCAGGTGCAAGTGCTATCAAAAACATGGAATCCCATGTGTTCAACATGAACGCGACCCCTTTGCCTACTGACGAGAACAAGCTTAGCAAACATGATGATGATCAGTTTAATCTCAGTGACCTTACTTGGAAACCAGCAGGGCTAGATGCTCTTCAAAGAAGCGCCGCGGCTACTGCTTACCTGGTGAGAGATGTCCAGAGCAACTTCAAGAACGTTGGGAATGCTTGGGCTGGTGCCTTGTCCTCTTTTCTTTTTTGCAATAAGTCGCACACTCACTCGTAGTGTTGTGTGGGCATGGCCTGTCGTTTTCTCATTTTCCCTGACCACTCGACTCATATTATACAGACTGCCTGCCTTGCCCAGGCTGCCTGTTGAAGGAGAATGAAGTTTATGAGAGCTGCGGCAAGTACATTCTCTCAATGGGTTTCAAGACATGGGGGGCGGCTGCGGTGTTGCTGGAAAGGGTTCAAGTCGGTGATTCAGTAGCTGCTACTCATTCAGTTCAGTTTAGTTTATCATTTCAGATCATTTTAGTGTTGTTTGTTCTTATTAACAGGTTGCACTCAAGACTGGTCAAGAAGACTCTGTTTATTGACTACTGTACATTAGACTTGAATATATAAAAGTACTTTGCCTGCTTGCCATTTCAACTTCAACAGTACATGGTCCTGCCGAGGTATTCTTCATCGTTCAGGAAAAGCAGATGCGACCGTCTTGGATCTTCAACTTCAGTTGTGATGACAGTGAATGTGAATACAAGTTGTGAAGTCCCACATCACTCACAATTGAGAGGTTCAGTGCTGATGCAAACAGGTCCTTGTGACACTCTTCTTCGTTCAGCATTGTGGCGAGGTCTTCGCATCAATTTGCCAGAGTTGAACTCAATTCGAGATTGTTTGCGCTTGCCAGTTCTGAAGAAAGGGCAAGGCACTGGAAAGAACAAAGCAGTGCTGAAGCGTGATGTTGCTTTTCAGGTTGTGAAGCACTTGTTCCCAGAAGCATTGCAAACAGACATCGAACGAATGGTTGATGTCATTGCGCCGGCCAGAAAGACCAGTGCAAACACAGAGTTGACAGATGCTGACATCAAGCAGCATACTTTTGAGTTCATGGTTTCGCAGCTCGATGTGGAGAACCAAAATGAATTCAAGAAGGTCGTCGATTTGGCTAGAGAAGAACTTGAACGCGAGCTCAAGGATTCTTTGCAAAAGGAATTGGAAGGAGCAAAGCAGAAAATAGAACAGATGCAGAAAGACATGGATGCTGCGAATGAGAGTGCTGGTTCTGCTGATGCTCCTGCAGCTGCGCCAGCATCGTCGTCTCGCTGTGGGGAAAGCCATGCGAAGGTTACGCCCAGAGAGTTTCGCTCCCCGTTTGCTTTTGCAGAGAAGCAAGTTCAGGGCTTGAGCTTCAAGCACGACCGCACCAAGCTTTTTGCTCAAGTTGTGTTTCCTTGTCACTGGTCTTCAATTCAGTTCAGAGTGTTTGGTGATTTGCTACTAGAATACCAACACTTTTTTCATTGGGACACAGAAGTTCTTTCATTGGACTAAGATTGAAAAGAGATACCCTCTGCAGACAATGACAATTATACTATACTACTACGAGACTACTGTATAAAAGTTTTTTTTAATGGCCTTTGAGTCACCTTTGAAATGCATTGAGGTCCGGGTGAATCCCCAAGCTCATGTTCCCGGAGTTGGGGCGCTAAGAGGGATGAGGTGACAGCGTTGATGGAAGTGATCAATTGGTCGTTTGCTCGGTGGAACCGCAGGTTTCCGAAGGAAACCCTTCCTGTTCCCACTGAAGCAGATGTGCAGGAGTATTTGAATGCCTTGTCGTGAGGCTGTGCATGCAAGAACAAATCACGAAGTGATGCAGCGGAAGAAACACGTGTGGCATTGGGATGACGTGGTGGTCAATCAAGCTTCGTTTTTTTAGATTTCTTGAGATTGTGACTATTTGATTAATTGTTTAAAGCTGATAATCCAGAGATTAAAATAAGGAATGTACTCTATTAACGCACTATTAGGCAGAAATCCTACTGTTTGCTGTTAGTGCTTAATAAGCACTCAATAGTGGTTAACATCATCATATTAGTAAGCAGTCATTTGTGCTACTTCTGCGAGGCAGGGGGGGGTGAACCCTGGGGGAGGTCAGTTCAAACCTTCGTCTGCGACTGAATGACTATTGAGTTGTCTGTAGGCAAATGTGACTTGTGACTTGTCATTCACAAACTCAAAGCCAGTTGCTCGAGAGCCATTTGCAGCCCTTCACAGCAAAATCGTCTTCTTGTTCTGGTGTCAATTGAGTAGTTCTGAGTTTGGATTAATGGCTAAAGTTGTTCATCATTAGGTGAATACCAACATTATCCAACGTTTATGAACTCTACTGGGGCGCCAAATGCTCACAGGTTCCGACCTCTGGCTAACTTGGAACACGAGAAGGACAACAAAAACAAAAATGTCCACATGTGCCCCAATAATCATAGCTCCTCGCCAATGCCACTGCCTCACTTTGCGGCTGCAGTTTCTTGTGCCAACAAGGCCCTCTTACCGGCTTTTTAAGCCTTGCACGAGAGCACCGACTGACCCAAGCTTTCTCATTCGCAATGGCCCACCAGGCTTGCAACCTCGGTGTGCCCGAGCGGCTTTAACCAATGCTTTATATTATATAATCGCCGCACTCTTGGGGACAAACAGGACCGCAACGCCTGTATTACCTGACAGGGAACCAGCTGAAAATCTTGCGTTCAGAAGTATGGACTGAACATCTCTGTGTAGACTTCATCCCTTGCTGGGTGCCACGAAGCCCGTTGACGACGAACTTGGAGATTTTTTTTGTTTTTCTGTTGTGTTGTCGCGCCGCCCCATGATGCTCCCGCGGAAGCATTATCGTCAGCGATTGTTCGTGGGCACAATGATGATCGCCTTTGTAATTGCCTATTGCATGTTTGGGGTGTATAATAATTCGGGTGCCCTTGATTGCTTGAAACACGCCGTTATAAATTCCTGAATGTGAAAGGTGAAAAGCATTGAAAGATCCTTTGCCACGGGGCACCTCGCGTTCATCGGCAGGCTGTTCCTCCCATTTTGGGGTTAAATTGCGATCGGCTGCCGGTGGGTATATTGGTGCGTTAGTGTGGCCAATGGTTGGGCCACATGTGCCGTTACAAAGGGCAAGGATCTTCCTCTACTTCCGAAACACTCAAGCGGACCTATTCGCATCGGGTGGGACTGGCAGAATGCGGCATATAAATTTGAAGACCCACATCAACTTAAGTTTAGCTTAAGTTTGATATGGCAAGGCTGGACAAGTGAGAGAAAATGTCGATGCCTCCGAGCTCGTGGTAAGGCCAGGGCGTGTAGGGGCTTCCATGGGCTTGCTTGGACAAAGCACTGGAGGAGTCATGTAATAGCGAAGCTCTGACAGTGCCAAATCCCTTCCGTTCAGCCCTGGTCGTCAGGATGGTAATGTTGCTCGACATTGCTAGTCGGTTTCCCGGAGTGGCAGGTCAGTAGAAATTTGCGCAAGTTTCAGTCCTGCATGGGTTGCCGTTCGCAGTTCACCATTTCAAGCAGGCTAACACGTTGAGCGACTTCCATTTTGGTAGTTAAAGTTAAAGCTACTTTCTGGAGCTTTGTGCAATCGTAAAAATCTTTGAACATCTTCGTGGTTTGCCCTGAGACCCTATGAAGCCTTCCGCACTTCTCGCATTCGGGATTTGGCATGTCTTCCCTTTGAAATCTCGCGCGGGCCTCAGATCATCCCGTTTTTCCCCCAGATAGCTGCAAGCTATAGGAGTTCTTACTTCTCAATGGTGTGGCTCTGGATCGGCGTTTCGTTGCCATGTTTTGCCCGTGCAAGTGCTGGCGCTGGATCGGTGTTTTCTTAGTTGGTGCGGGTGCTGGTGTAAGTGCTGAATTCATTGCCAAAAGGGCGTGAAAAGGCTTCCATGTTTGCCGGATGTCATAGGCCCGCTTCAATCGATTGACAGTCCTACAGTTACTATGTCCTACTAGGGGTCGCTGCCCATCGCTTCAACAACGCTAACACAAGCATCCTTGGCTCTCGTAGTTGCAAATTGCATATGTCTTACTATGTCTCACTATGAGACCTCATGCAGGGATAGAGTGCTCTGCAGATTCAACAAATCTAAAGCTGCAATGGTGCAAGCCCTGAGTAAGAGCCAAACCTGGAAGCGTGGGTGTTTGAATTGTTGCTTTTCTTGCGGAGAGGCTGGATCTCTCCTGGTTATTTAGAATGTCCGTCCAATCGATCCTATCCTATCCTCTTTGAGGAACACGCCCATTCACATCTGAAAGGAAACAACGGAGCTTGCAACCTTTGCAAGCTTTAACTTAATGAATTATTGAATGAGCTATTGAAAGAGTGAGGGCGATATTGGTTGGAAACCTTCACACGCAGCGCACAGCGCACACTTCTTTGACCATTTGACAAGTTTGCTGTGCGTCCCAACTTATCTTGGGCCTCTCCAGGCGACACCAATGCAGTTCCTCGTGCTCGATTTACCAAGCAAAAGACCTCAGCGCTTCAGCTCAAACAAGCAATGAGCACAGCAAGAAGAACGGCTAACCAGAACACTCTGCACCAAAGCAATCGACAAAATCTCAGCCAACAATTCTGCCAAAGGCTTGCTGCTTGAAGCATGGTCTCGATATAAAGAAAGTAAAGGTTGTGCCACTACGTCCGTTGGGTGACTGTCCGTTGTGGCATTTGTGCGTGCTTTTGCAAGCCATTGTGCGGATTTTGCTGAGTCTGCCAGGCTGACACATTGGCAAGGCCCTGCTACAATGCGGAAGCCTTCCGAAGCCTCTACATCTGCTCACATCCTTCATCGAAAGTAAACACTGTCAACTTGCTGCACGCCACATGCGGCCATGTATGCCGTCGTTCACAATAGTACTATGGAAGTGGTTGCAGTGGTTGTGGCTTTCTAAAAGCCACAAGCCAAGGCCGGCGCATCATGTGCCAACAGCAGTGACCCAGCACCCTACAGCCATGGAGAAAAGAACTTGATTGGTTGATTGGAAAGAAAGTTCAAGGCAGCCCACTGCACCTTCTTCTCCAGGGCTGCTGTAGAGACCTTTCTAACATCTTCAACGATGTCATCCTGGCAGGTTGCTGCAAAAGGCAAGTGCCACAGTGGTGAACCGCAGAAAGGAAGATCAAAGGAAAATCATGGACTGGCATGGACTGGCCTTCTTTTGACCACCGGACATCGAAATCGTGCTGCCATCCGCTTGCAAAAGGCCAAAGTCCTCGTCTGCGGAAGCAACATGCGGTGCCACTTGTCTTCGCCTCTTTGGCCAATAAATGCACGAAATACACAACACAACCGACACAACCATGGGGTGCTGGAAGATGAAAAGGCGATTGTTTCGCAAGTGGTTGAATGGGTTTCCAGATTTCTCTTACATCAAGCTTCAAGCCTTGGAGCCTGAGCTTCCCTGGCATGCATAACACATGATGCACGCATGCATGCATCATACATCCATATGTGCAATCATGTGCATACATGCGTTTCGTTCGTTCTAGCAGTCTAGCAAGTTGCATTGCAATTGTATGCATTGAAACAAATATGATCTGATCCACATTGTATCTACCCATCTATCTGCATCAATCAACCTGGCCAGGATCCTGCGACCCAGCTTCACCATGCATGCACGCTGCTTTCCACTTTGGGGGAGTTGAATCTTGGAATGCTCTCCTACTATGGGAGTGGCCCGATATTTCAATATGTCAAATTCAAGTCCTAGAGGTCCTAGAGTCCTGGAGTCTAGAGACTACATTGGCAAGCTCCTTTCTCATACTGCTCCTCCAGCAGCTTGCTGACGTCGCTGTCAACCTGGGCTGCACCTGGAATCCGGAACAATAGCCACGGAGACCACCCAACCATCCACACCAAATCTCTCAAAACACAAGTGCTGCACAAACCGCAGTGCAACCAGAAATGTTGTTCTACTCCTTTATTACAACCTTTCAAAGGGCTTTGGAGCAAAAAAGAAAGGAGTACCTTTAGAGCTATGGCACAGGCAAAGTTTGTTGGGGTTGCTGTCAGCGGGGTATATGTCGTACAGAGTGAAGAACCCTCGGTCAACCACAAGTGCTCATGTTTCGGGAGTGTTGGTGCCCCTTCTTTGGCACCATGAGCTTGATGTTGAAGGATAGTTGTACATTGCTCTGGGAGCGATTGGTGCGACAAGTTCTGCGTTGAGGACATTTGACAGGCCACCTGGCCTTGAAGAGCCGAGGAACACATCAGTCAACCCAGCATGCCATGAAGCGTTGGCCTGCTCTATATTTATACTGTAAGTATAGTTTGGGAATACAACGACCAGTAGCGCCTTCGTAGCCAGCACCTGGTCGGGAAAGGCCAGACACAACCTGCATTCCAAGATGCTCACTTTGACAGCCGTGCGAGACCATCTAAAGGAACTGAATGTAGGCGTGGGCAGCGAAGCCAAAGCGTCCTGTTTTGCGGCTTTGGCGGCTTCTGCTGCATGTCGCCTCATCACTGGAATCACGCACTTGTCCACTTCCAAGATCTGAAATGCAACAAGGACATTGCCAAGCTATTGAATTGAGGAACAATGACAATGCAAGTCAGCTCCGCTGACCTCAAAGAATCGAGATCAGCCAAGGCAACGTCAAGTGTGGCCCCAGTTGCCTAGCGTACCAAGTGTCAACCGGTCCTAAAGTTTGCAAATGTTCTGCGTGAAAGTTCCCTCAATTGTATTTTGTCAGAGCCTGCTGTTTGGACACCTGGTTGTTGAGAAGCCGCTGAAGACCGGCCTGCGCTGCAACCTGCAAAGATGAGATTGCTGATAACGATCACCAAAGCTGTCAAGGAGCTCAGCCGAAATGCTTCGCATTGCCCAATGCTTTACCAGCTTCGCAAAGTAAAAAAAAAAACAAAAGACTTCTTGAAGATATCAGGATGCAACGCTTACAACTGGTGTCTAGGCAGATTTTGAACACCGGGCTTTTGCCAACTGCCAATTGATCATTTGTGGCTCAAACGTCATGGGCCGTCCTTTGGCCAAAAAAATGCAGACCCATCAGTTTGGCCTCCTGAACAGCTCATCTGGCTGCAGCAACTTAAAATTAGAGGCCAGCCAAAATAGTAGAATAGTGAAATCCAGCATCGTCGTGTGCTATTTGCCATGTTCTACGGATGGATTGGCTTTCGCAGTCGGTGCCATAAAGCCTGCGGATCAAGACAATAGTTTGCTAGTAACAAGAAGCTACTAGGAACAAAGGGCATCGCTACTAGGAGCAAGAAGCTGCTAGTAGCTCCTGGCATTACCACCAGTAACAAGAACGCGCTACTGGGAGCAAAAACATCGCTACAAGTAACAAAGTGCATTAGTAACAAGAAAGCTGCTAATCCATCCTGAGGCAACGCCTCCAGAGTCCAGACCCTACAGCCCTGCCTGCGTTGCAGGTATCTATATATCCAGATCAGGAAAGAACGCAAGAAACAGAGCAGTACTCCAATCCAAACGATGCAGGTGTGCAATACTCTCCTCGGCCAGGTGTTGTATCCAACTGTGTCTAAGCCTTTGCTCAGCATGAAGCATGTTTGGCCAACTAGAACTTCCAAGCGTCTTCGGACCTGCGGCACGTTGATAAACTTCTTAATATTGTCAATGTATTGGATCTCGTCTTCAAGGCTGGTGTATGCCACTATTTCAACCTGCCTTGGCAGCAACCAACGAATGGTAGCTTTACATAGATTCCGTACGGTTTTAACAGTATTTTTCGGGAACATTGTTGTTTCAAAGAAAAACCAGAAAAATGGACAAGGAACAAAATTCGGGAGAGGTCGGGATCTTTTCAGGCATGCGGCTGGACAAGAATAAGCAATGGAATGGACAAGGAAGAGGGAAAGGACAGCTGAAAAGAAAACAATATATTAATATATTAGAATATAAATAAAGTACAGTACAAGAAATGACCTTGGTTATTGAAAGGAATGGGGGCAAAGGAGAAACACAAAAACTCTGACGAACCTGGACCGAAAGTATTTCAAAGTGTGGAACAATGACAAGAACACGCCGTGCCATGCTGCACACCATCTTCTTCCAGCATGTCTGGCAGCTTCTCGTATATAAGCGCAAGTACGTCATCCACAGCATCCTGGGATTCAGGACGAAATTGTCTATGCAAATACATGTCAAAAAAGTGCTGGTATATAATATAAGGATCTTTGGGGCTTCAATATGCGCGTCTAAGGGGATTCTAAAAACGAGCTAAATGGGCCCAACGGGCCAAGTCTCAGAATCCTCCAGCTGATAACCCGTGCAGGAGTGCACCAGTTGCGACAATGAAATGAGCTTGTGAGAGTTCATAATCGTTTCATTCACGTGCAGAATGGTGAGCTTCCTCAGAATCGCGAGCTCTTTTGAACCCACTCAACCGCAGAACGTGCAGCTGAGCTGATGGCAAAGCACAAAAGGATCCACGTGGATACATCGGTTCCGCAGTGGCTCTAATGCCAATGTGTTTTAGCTTTTCGGTAATGACCTCGGCAGCTTGCGGGTGTGCAGCCTGGCCCCGAACAACCCTTCAGGAACTGAGGCTGCAACTAAGGGAAGGAGGCTGCTAACATACTCCGCATTTGGGTGATGCGGAGAAAAAATGCGATCAACCTCGAGCTCCACATGAAATATTTGCAGCTCTCAAATCCCTGAGAGCAATTCTACCAACTGGGCAAAAGACGTCGCGTTCTTCAAGATGATGAAAAGCAGAGAAGCCGAGATCATGTTTCCTTGGATTCGTGAACCTCTTCCATTCTTGTTGACACTGTCCTCCGTGCTGATGATGGTACATCTTCCGTTTTGCTTCTGTTCCCATCCTTGCAAAAAAAAACATGATCCGAGATTCGGCGGAGGTGCTTGCCCTGGATGCTGGAAGGGCTTTGCTTCCAGAACCAGGAAATTCAAGTAGAAGACCTGCACATGTCGTGCTCTGCCTCAAAAAAATCAAGGACATTGGCCAAACTTAAAACAAATTGAACCCACCCGGTCATCCGCTTGCTCCGCTTGCGCATCCTTATAGATCTTGCTAGCGCTCGAAGCACGTGCCTGTCACACTGCAAAATGCTAGGACCGCTAGGAATCTGATGGGCCGCTTTTGAGGACCCAACGATCGTTTCATCGAATGGATGCGCATTTTGGGCCATGGCGGCCACGTCAAGTTTCCATCTGCACTGAAAATTGGAACCTTTGGCCAGGAACCCAAACCGCTTGGCCCCGACCCGGATTGCCCAATGTCATGTTCCAAGGTCCAAATTAGCAGGCTGCTCTTTTTGTTCGTGTGATGACTCGAGTCTGTGAAGGCACTGAAGCCGTGCCTTGGTTGACCGGACCTTGCTTGCACTGCAAATCGCTAACCATACTACAATGTCGACATTGTCATTTGGAAACACAGCTGCTTTTAGCTGATTCCAGCTGCTAGCTGCATGAGCCAAGAAGTTCAGCTGCGCATTGGAAACATCTCCTGCGTGCCATGAACATGGCTCACCTCTTTTGGTGCTAATTACTTCCCTTTTTGCATCTTTTTGCAATCTTGCTTGAACATAGCTGCAGGGCTATGCGCTGACCATTCAGAGGCCCTTTCGGTGTCTCACTGAAAGGTGTGGCCACAAATTGCACGGTTTGACATCTTTTCAGTATTTTTCAACCGCTTCTTCTCGGGTGCTCAGTCGGCCTCCACTTCCCAAGCACGAGGGTGTCACCACGAAGGGACGCAAGCCAGTGGTCCTCTGAAGCCCCATCCGACACAGCATCATGGAGCACGAATGAATGTAGGGGTGGCTATATAAGGATTTGTTCTATCTGGTAGGTGAAGATGTTCCGCTCAACCACATTGGGACGCATAGAGACAGCACGCAAGAACCAGCTCATCGCAGGCAAGACCCTTGCCCTTGTCTTTCGCGGCTTTCAGAGTTTCATGCTGCTCGCCCGTCTCCTTCTGTGGCAACTGGTGCTGCGTCCATTTTCCTTCACCTCTTCCTGATGGTATCTGCTCAACAGGCTCTCCTGCTATAGGTTGCACCCTTTCCCTGGCTTGACCTCCTGTGGCCTTCAGAGGAACATACACCTGCAACAAAGGCTTGGCGGCTTTCCAAACCAAATCGTCGGAGTTGCCACAGCTCTCAAGCTTCTCCATTCGTTCAACACAGCTCCAACTGAATTTCTCCAGAAGCCTTGGAAATTTATGACAGGGTGAGCAGCTACTGAGGATCAGGTTTGGGAAGAACACAAAAAAATTGGTGGATTCTAAGTTCACTCACTCACTACAGTAAATCCAATCTTACAATATTTTACCATCCTCTGGCTAAAGAACCCTTGCGAAGAAGCTGTGCCAGGAGTCAAACAATACATGGCGCAGCGTACACGGTCTCGGTTGCCACCAAAGCGGAACCCTCAGGGCAAAGAACTTAATTGTCAACATGCACACACTCAGTACACACCCTGCACTTGTCCGTTTGTCGCAAACAATCCAGTTTCTATCTATTTTTTGCACTGTTGGTTGCTGCTTTACGGTGAGGTCAAGTGATCTATACTACAACATACCGGGGTGATTGTCATTATATATTGGCCACTGCCCAAAGGAAATCACCTGTGCCTGCTGCATCCGACCTGTGCGGCCTTGCTACCCACCACGGACAACATGCCTTCGTTGCTACCTGACGCCCCTTCATCCCCACTGGGAACAAGTATAGAGAGGGTGAGTCAGATAGGAAAAGAAGGTTGCAAACACAGCACTAAACTAAAGGCTTAGGAAAAAAATGTCGAATACGGTGTTCAAAAGAAACTATGGCTTTCAATTGCTTGTCCCTAGTCCAAGAGGTTCTGATTTGGACCTGCAAACGCTACTTCATCGTGGTTGGGGATCACGTGTATATATATATATACAGTATACAATGTATATATACCTTTCAGTGTCTGTTCATTCTGTTCTTGTTCGTTCCTGTTCTCTTTGTATGTCTGATCCCCGCTGCTACCGTATACCGAGGTTCAGCCCCTCATTTTATCCAGAAATTGGTTAAATAGAAGGACTTTCACACACCAATCACCAATTGTCTGCACAAGTCATTTAATCTGAAAAGCGAAACAAGAAAATAACTTTCTCGCAAAGTCATCTAAAATGGGTCTGGAAATCATGATTTCAAGAAAGTGTCCGTGACGAGGATCGAATCATGAAACATGAGGCAAAGGTTATTTAAAATGTATAATTTTAACTAGAAAAAACACACAAGCACAAATCAAACGCATGACTTGTTTTCACATGTTTTCACAATTTTGGTCTTTGGTTTTCATCCAGGCTTCAAGAGCAACGAAAAAAACATCAGGAATAAAGCACATCAAAAAAGACCGTAGAAAAAACGTAAAAAACAACTAAATGCCGCGCCGCCTATCGCGGCCACTTTTGGACTTGTCCAAAAGGTCTGCGTTTTTGGATTTCAGACCTGAAGATGGAGGTGCGTCTGTCCATTTTGGGGGGCGGCAAGACATGTTCAAAAACTATCTCTGGTCAGGAGTCCGATTTTTGCACCAGCGTCGCGTCAGTGGACTCTGCTGAAGGGAGGATTCTAGTTTCCAAAAAGGAAATGTTTTGGAATATGTGTCTCATCTGATGAATTTGCTGCCTCTATAAGGAGAATATTTCTTCGACATTTGGTCACATTTCCTGCTTTTGAAACAGCCTTGTCATGATGTGACATGACTGACAGCAAAACTGTTTAATATCATCAATTTTCCAAACCACCCCTAAAGCACTAACCGTAACCCAACAAC